CACTCCACCCCACCCTAACCCCCCTCCTTCCCACCCTCCGCGCCCCACTCTTCCAGGTGCCCCGTGGTACCCGATGCACACTCGGACCAGAAAGAAGCGCAAACCGTATTCCAAACTCCAGCTGGCGGAGCTCGAAGGTGAATTCATGCTGAACGAGTTCATCACCAGGCAGCGGCGGAGGGAGCTCTCCGACCGGCTGAATCTCAGCGACCAACAAGTGAAGATCTGGTTCCAGAACCGAAGGATGAAGAAGAAGAGACTCATGCTGAGGGAGCAGGCCCTGGCCTACTTTTAGAGATGCGACAGAAGGTGAATCGAGAGGCAGTAAAAACAAAACAAAACAAAACAAAAAAAGCCAAAACATTCTGCGCTTCCTTATGTCTTCTTTTAAAGCATGCACTCACGTATTCATCTTTTAAATTTCAGACAAATATTTCAACATTTTTTTCAGTATTATTATTGTTGTATTTTATTTTATTTTATTTTATTTTTGTCCGCGCAACTGCGGGCTGCACCAGTCCCAAAACAAACCAGTATCTGGCTTTTAAAGCTATTCTGTAGCGAGGCTGCCTCTGTGGTTGGTATAAAAACGCACACAAAAGAGATGTTTTCTGTGCGGGTTGCGTTCAGACGTTTTTCTCATCTGTCGTGGGGGGGGGGGGGGGGGGGGGGGGGGGGGGGGGGGGGGGGGGGGGGGGGGGGTCATTCTAGGTAACCATGCAAACGTGTCTTTGGTTAATGTCAGTTACAGTTTTGCTGTAAAACGTAATGACAACAATACTGGTTTCGCAGGCTAAAAACAAGAGAAAACAAAGAAAACCAAAATACAAATATTATGGCTGTGCAAGAATCACAGACGGACCTGGACCTCAGGTCAGAGCCGCGTCAGTCATGTCCCTTCGATCACCGACGAAGGAGAATCTCGTCTTTATTACTTCCATAGCCACGGGTTGTTTGCAGAAGAGTTTGCACCGACTGACTGTTTGTCTGCTCTCCATATTTTCGTCACACGTCGTGGGCACGTTCACGGTCACGGACAGGAAGTCACGGTAGTCTGCGTGAGGGATGGAGGGGAGGGGGGGAAGGAGGGGGTGAAAAACCGCATCGTAATTCATATCCATATATTTATGAGTGCTGATTAATTGCCACGACTTTGTTCTTGTGTTTACACGTGACTCAAGACCATTTTCGTCGCTCTCATCACTTTTGTTTCGCGTCACCAACCGCCAGCACAGACGCCTGCATGGGCAGCGTTGCTGTATCTGAGTGAGACCACCGTGTGAACACGGCTGTGAGCTGCTATTATTAAAACAAGTCCTGGTCTAAAGGGGTTCGACACAAGTGTATCCGTCAACAAAAAGACCTAGTGTTGCTGTATTCAAATATTCAACAGCGTCATGACATTTTAGGCCTCACACGGACGCTGCGGCCGGGGCCGAGGGTCCGAGGGTCCGGGGGGTGACTATGTTTTTTAAAGGTTTAAGAGAACATTTCTGAATCTTTGGTGCTCAGAATTATAAATAAATAAATTGAGAAAAAAATGTAAAAAAAAAAAATTCCGAACAAATACCCTTGGCCTACCTGTGTGTTCCCTGAGGTCTGGGCGAATGCAATTATCTGTCCTGTATTATGAGTAAGCTAACTATAGCGGTGAAAAAAAGTATTTGCAGCATGTTATTGATGTGAAATTATTATAAATCATGTCCTTTGGCCACTTTTAACTCTGAGTTACTTTTATAAAAAAAATTAATAAATGAGAAGCGAGCGAACACAACCTAAAACGTCATTACGTACTTTTAATATTATTATCATGATTATGATTATCATTATTATAATTATTATTATTATCATAGAAGGACGGGGGGGGGCGTTAGGCTCATTTCTTCATGTACATACTCTCTGCAGTGTCCTCTGTATCGTCCCATTATTTTACATTGTATCCGTGTATAACTTTGTAAAAAAAATTAAAATTAAAATGAGACATTATACCATAGTGCTTTATGTTATTAATTGTCTTGTACAAATATCGCATTCCATAGCCTGTCTGTAGCGGCGACTTCGGCAGAGTTAGGCCTAATATATCATATTTGCCATGAGTGCATTTAAGAAACAGTATGCAAGATTTATATATATATATAAATATATAAATATATAAATATTTTTTATTTTTTTCTCACACATGACATTTAAAGAAAACTCGGTGTAGTAGTTGTTTGTTATCGTTCCTTTCGTTTTACGTCTCTCTCTCTCTCTCTCTATCTCTCTCTCTCACTGCATTCCCTTCTTTGCGCTTGTAAGGATTGCTACATTGTCTTGTAAAAGTAATAATGATATGAATGTATATGCGTAAGGTCTTCAATAAACAGAATCCTGAAATGTTTATTGGTGTTACACAAGTGTGTGTCTGAGTGTCCTGCTTTAAACTCAACCCACAACGTTTGTGGGTGTGACAGCGAGGATTGTTTTTTTTTTTCACCTGCGGCTTTTTCACATCTACTGCAGTGAGGCAAATAATAATAATAATAATAATGATCATTATTATTATTATTATTATTATATATATATGATGCGTCTGAACGTTGACAGGGTTGAATGCCTGTGTTTCTGACAGGCTGTTTTGTTGCTGTGTGTTTGTATAAACAGCCTTCTCTCCTGATCGTCCTTGTTTTATTATTATGACTCTTCTGGTTTAACATAAACTACATGTTAGCTTTCAGGGCAAAATGGCGGCCGCATACACACCCCATCTGACTGTGAGTGCGACTCCCGTCTGTTGTTGTATGAAATAATCCAGTCCATAGATTTTAGTCCCCCCTCACCCCCACCCCCACCCCCTCACCTTCTACTCCCCCCTTTTCCCATAGGTTTTCCCTTGAAGTTGGACCCAATCAGTGTCAGTGCTGTGCTACAAGCCCATAACAGTGCAGCTGAACATGCAGTGTCTGTGTAGAGCAGTGATAGGGTTACAGCCCGGTGCTCCACACAGACAGGCCTCTCGGACAGGGCTGTTCATCCTGTTCTCTGGTTTGCATTATAGGCTGGGCGTCATACACCAACAGAGAGGGTGAAGAAAAAACCGGCGTACATCTTTACAAAACCACATAGATGTGTGTACAATAAACACATCTGTGAGGCTCTCCCTGCTGGCAGAGAGGTGTAAAGCAGCGGAGGAGCTGTGCAGTGTTGGGTTTTTTTTTGTTTTTTTTTTGTCAGCTCACTGAGCACAAGCATCAATGCGTTCGCCTTCAATCTCAATGAGATGAAGTTAGTACAGTGGAGTCGGAGTTGCTGTCTCAGTGATGAGGTCAGATGTTGCGCAGGCGCGGCAGAGAGAAAGGCCTTGTGGAGCTTGTGTGTACAGGAACTACGTGTATTCAGAACGCACACACACACACACACACACACACACAAAAGACTACATGCATACAAAACATAAACCACATATTTCCTTTTACACAATGTGAAGGCAGTTTTTTTCCTCTCTGTCTTTCCTGACTCACTGATTATGGAGGCAATGATTTCATGACCATGACGTTTGTGCTGCAGTTTGACTGTTTCTACCTATAATCCAATGCTGTTTTTTCTAGTTATTATATTCACTATACTATACTATATATATATATATATATGTACACGCGTTTGTGTGTTCACGCGTGTGTGTTTATGTATATGTCTGTAGATGTACATGTATGTATATATATTTATATTTGTGTGTTTATGTATATAAGTGTGTAGATGTACATATATGTATATATATTTATATATGTATATATTTAGCCTTTCTTTTTTTTTCCTATGCTCCTTTTAAGACCAGCTCACACTGAAGTGCACTAGTCATAAGTATGTATTCAAAAATATTTGTTTCTTTGTGTAGTTTACTGTATAAAGTATGTAGTTAAGGTTAAGGTCCGCTCCTTTATTCGATTAGTCGAAATATTACAGTTTCAATAATTATTAAGAACATAATAAAGCAACGCTGTTTTGTAAATAATCATACGCAGCACGTTTATTTAGAAAGTTGACAAAAAATAAAATAAAATATTCGCTTCCTTTTTTGGTTTCATGTATATATTTGTGTTTGATAGAAATATATATTTTCTGCATTCGAAAAACACACACGACTCTTTTAAAATGTTCGTGCGGCAATACAGCACCTGAGGAGGAAGAGTGACGCAGTATTACTAAGAATGTACACGCGTAATGCTTCAACATTGAACCCTTTGACTCATTTAAATGATCCCAGTGCCCGTGTGGGAGAGGCCTGACGTTAGAACACCGATCAGTACCAGGTCTCTGACACCAGGTCCCTGACACCAGGTCTCTGACACCAGGTCTCTGACACCAGGTCTCTGACACCAGGCGATGGCACTAAAATAATCAACATTTATTAATCACGTTAACGTCAGTCTCTATTAACCAAACCACACTGAGTTCCTCTGACTAGATAAACTAGTCATCACCACCGTGGCTGTTAAATGGGCTCAATAATTAATAATCATTGTAGAACGGCCCACGCCGAGCTTTGGCTCTTCTGGAATAATTTAAACCACAGTTTAGAAGGAGGAGGAAAAAAAAAAATACACACTGTGAGATGTTTTATACATATTTTCCCCAAAGACCTGGAGTTCTCCTGCAAACATTCTCCTGATGCGCTCTTGAAATTTAAACGGTGGTCGTTGCAAAAAAAAAAAAGAAAAAAGAAAGAAAAAGTTAATTAGGCTAAATGATGTATTTTTCTGCTTGTAAAGAACAGCACTAAACCGACAGGCGCTGTGGCGACTAAAAATAAATAACAATGACTAAAATGAAATGGAAGTCAGTGTCGTGGCCTGTGTAGCAGAACTGGTTTCAGTCAAGTGTTTATCTGCGTGGACAGCAGTCATCGCTGTTTGTTTTTGTAAACACACACACACACACACACACAAGACTTACGGTTAAAGGAGGATAGAATGTTCTGGAGAACAACGCACGACATTGTGATGGAACAAGTGCTCATTAGACGAAATGATAGTTTGTGTTTTCAGGCTGGTAACGTGATTTCTGTGCAAAAAGAAAAAAGAAAAAAAGAGAGAAAAGCTACTGTTTGAGCTGCATCATTTCAAAGCGTGTTCTTTGGTTCGTGCTTGTGGTGAACATGAGGAACACGGTGATGAAGAACATGCAGTCTTAACTTGAACTTCAAACCGGGCGTTGACTGCTGTGTTGTGCTGAGCTGAGGAGCCACTCGTCTGTGCTGCCTGTTTGTTCAGGTGTCTCCGTCTCCCTGTTATTGTCATGTGTGACATGTAACGCTGCTCTCTGGCATCTGAACGCCTTTACCTGCCACCCCTGCCCTCACACCAACAAAACACAAACATGATGATCACTGCAGTGCAGCGGCGTGGCCTTATATGTGCATGGTATTGTTTATTAACATGGTGGTAAAAGATTTAAAAAAAAAGATTAAAAATATATAAAGTCAAATGTGCAGCCTTTGCAGACAGCCTCGCGATATCTGGTTTGTAAAAGCAGGATAAAATCTGGGCCTGAGTCTTTGCAGGTCTTTACAATAGGTCTTTCATTGCTCCTGGAGCACTTTTGACTTTGAGACTGGCTAAATCTGTTTATGGCGGCCTGTCTCTGCGTCCCAAAGGTCAGTGAGCTTCACAGTG